AGTCAATGTTGATTAGTGAGTTTTTTTTAAAAAAGAATTCATTATATTAAATTTGTTGACCAATTTAAAAATATGTTTCTACTTTAGATAGGATAAAATAAAGAAACTATATTCATTTTCGAATTGTAGATGTATCATCTATTGTATCTGAGTTGGAGGACCTTGAAAGAATAATGTCTTTTTAGTTTATTGTTAGAAGTAAAAGAAGATATGGATCACCTTTTGAAGTACTATGATATTTATTAATTCTATATATCTTTTTTCCTATATCTTACTGCTGCCACAAACTAAGAGAGTTAATAAAGTAGGGAAGTTCCAATTCCTAGTTATGGTCATACTGTCAACAATATTATTGGGGAAAAGGCAAAGAAAAATCAACAAATACTAGGTGTTCTGCAACAATCACATCAAAAAGCATTGCAGTTACAAGCAGACTAATGTGTTCCAGAAAGAATTACACATCAGAACTACTCAGATAGCATTTCATGATGCAAATATGTAACTACCAGCCTAAACTGAATAAAGTAGAACCTCTAGAAATGAACTTAGATATCTACCTTTTTAAAAAGCTCCACTTTTGATTGTGATACAGGGCAGATTTTAGAAAAACTATCGTGGATAGACTGGGAGCTCTCTGAGGGTTAACACCTGCCACAGTCCTTCTCTTATCTCCAGAGAAGTTCCTGGCACGTTGTTGAAAGTTGATATATGTGTATTGAAGAATAAACACCTGTCTCAGTCCATTCTGTGCTGCTATACCAGAATACCTGAGACTGAGTCATTTATAATGAAGAGAAATTTATTTTCTCACAGTTCTAGAGGCTGGGAAGTCCAAGATCAAGGTGCCAGCATCTAGGGAGGGCCTACTTGCTGGGTCATCCCATGGTGGAAAGGAAAAGAGAGGGCCAGAGAAAGACAAGAGTGGGCTAAACTTATCCTTTTAAAGGAACCCCAAGATAATGGCATTAATCCAGTCATGAGGGTGGTGTCCCAAGACCTAAACACCTTACGTTAGACCCCACCTCTCAACATCCCTGCACTGGGTATCATTTGGGGGATGCATTCAAACCATAGCAGTGTACAGTGAAATATACTAAAGCCCTGATGTGACTTAAAATCACTGGAAGAAGTTATATCAGAAAAAAATTGGTCAATATAAGCGTCAGAAAAAATATCTCAAGGAATATATGTGTTCGAGAAGGATGGTGCTTTCTAAAACTATTTCACTGATTTATCATTGTGTATTCAGTAACAAGTAACCAATTTCAAACTGCTTTATAGATTTCATTTTTAATCTCATTACCTAATAAGAAATAGAAGACTCAAATTGCTTGGCTTCAAAAGTGAAAAACATAGTGTACATAAACATCATTTAACTTAAATTTATACATTTGTAGAGCCAACTTCATTTTCATAACTGCTGAATGACCAAAAAGGGAAAAAATATTCCCAACTGCAGTTGCTATTTTTTTTAAGTGTGCTTTTGGCAATTAGTGCAGGCTCCAAACATCTTTGATAGTGTTCACAACTCAAACAGCTGAAGTCACAAAACCAGCAAGCTGTTCAATATGGTCTATACGTATGGATGTCTGTATGTACATGCATACATAGTATAAATAAGTCACAGAGCTTGAAATAATAGTAGGAAATATGCCATTGAGAAGTCCATGGCTTGCATTCTTTTCATGAAAAAAAAAACACACACACGCACACACAAACACATTCTGATCTTCCAAATTCAATTCGCACACTGTATCTAGTGAACACATAGAAGAATGTCCTACAAGGTAACCTTTCATTTCCCTTTCAAGGCTGTATTGGATACCCATTTTGCCTTATTATTCTATGGGACTAAAACTCTAAATAATGTAGTCTTTTAAAAGTTGAGACATAGTGTTCTTGCAAAAGGTAGACTGCCTCACTAAGCTTTGCTTATGTTCTTGGTGCCGTTCCTTATTTTCTCAAATCTCTCTACAGCTTTCATGAGTTATAGCCTCTTTTTTGTAGAAGAATAATTTAAAGAGTTCATGGAAAAATGCATTTTAAAAGATAAAAGGAATCTTCCCATGAATGTTTTGTAGTACCTTCATACTAACCTTAATCTAGGGCCCTATGGAGGGTTAGGATACAGATCAAATAAATTAGTATCTTCTGTGCTTCAGCTACCATTTTTTCCCAGCAAAATAAGGGAAAATGGGCATCCAATACAGCCTTGACAGGGAAAGGAAAAGTCACCTTGTAGGCCATTCTTATGTGTGTCCAACTGGGGTTGTGTTTTGGGTCAACAAGTCCCAATCAATTTGAGGTGTGTGAGCTCTTCCTTCCCTCTTTAGTGAGACATCCTCTTTTCACCAAACCTAATGATAAACCATCTCCTGTTAAGGCTTCCCCTGTGGAGAGCTGTATTTTTTCTTTGCTGTGCAAATGTTTAAGGTTCCAGATAAAAGATTCTTCGTTGTTGTGGTGAAAAGGATAGGGGGCCATGAGTGGAAGATCTGGGTCTTCTATTTTTTTTTCAAAAAACGTGTGTGTGATTTCTTAACCACTGTGAACCATAAAGGGTTGAGCACTGTAAGAGGGATGCACATCTGTAACTGGCAAGCCACTCCTCCCTTTCTCCATCTCTTCCTATGAGAAACCTCCCAAAATGATTTTGGTGCTTTTTCTTATTGAGTCTCAGAATCTTTTTCAAAATAGCATTCCAGGATGCCAACTTACCAAGAAGTCATGGTCGGTGTAGCAGTTAAAGCAGATTTTCTATCCCTGGACTACATCATCTCCTAATTACCTCTCAGGTCTAACATTATATGTTTTCTGTCTGACAGCAATTTTTAATTATTTCTATTTTGATTTTATAGAGAAATTTCAGTTTTCCTTCCTCATATGTGTAGCAGAATGGGTAATACCAAATCATAATCTAAGGATACATTTGCTTATATAAAAAATTAACTGATTTTAGTATTTTCTTAGTTTGTGTTCATATCAGTAAGGGTTAACAGGAAGTAACATAGTTGATTGGAAAAAATAAGATTACATACTAAAGCAAGTTTAACTGCTGTGTCAGTATATATATGACTTTTCATTTTGGAGTTTTTCCTTCTAAATTTGAAGATTAAAATAGACAATTTAGCTGTGATGTTGTAGGTGACAGAATGTCATACTGAAACTGAATTGTTTGCCTCAAATTTCTATATTTATAACTTTATAACTTTTGCAGTAGAGGTATGTATAATTTTATATTTACTTAATCACTTATAATTAGTGTAATCTAAAGATTGAATCCAACTGTGTACACTTTAAGGCACTCTTCTTATTTTGATTTTAAATGTTAAATGAGCCAACTTTTAAACAAAATCTTTGAAAAACTTAAATTTGTATTTGCTTATGTAAATCAGTAATGGTCTTATTTACTACAATAATGAAAGAAACGTTTGAACAGGCTTTTTACATAAACCCATTGAAACTACAAGTATAAATTCTTATTGCTTTTTATAAATGCTGAATTCATGGATGTGTGTGATTTTTACTAAAACTTCAACCTCAATCTGTAATGGTCTAAGAAGTACTCATCCCTGATGCTTGCACATTTATTTGAAATCAGTACAACCTCTTTCAGGAGGCAACACTTGAAAAATATGTTCCTAATAATTATTAATTCATTTTGAATGTATTAATTTATTTTGTATTTATTTGTATGTATTAAAATTAATTGTAATAAGTTTAGTTGATGTTTATTATCATTTATATGATGTTTATATGATGTATATATATATATATATATATACACACACACACACACACACACACACACACAGAATAGTTTAAATGAAATTAAAATAGAGATCATAAACCATACAATAGAATTAGATATCCCTCTAGGAACCAGAATGAGATAGTTGCTGAGATTCAGTATTTGATTTGACCCTGAGTTTTCTGACTGTCAAGGAAAAGAATAAAAACATTTTCATTTTTCCAGTTTATTGAGAGAGACAAAGTGTCATCAAATTTTTAGATACCAGAATGGCTCTGTTTTCTGTAGCCAGAATTGCCTTTATTCCACTCTTTATCTCACTGTTATTCATTCGCCAGTTTACAGATTGTCTACTTTTTGAAACCCTGTATTATTATATACTCAGTAAGAATTTTCTTTGAGTTACAAATGAATAATTATAAAAGTTTAACTACTACTTATTGAATATATATATCATGTGAGAAGCAAATAACAGACATTGCATTCTCTCTAAACCTTGCAAAATAATCCTGCAAGATTCATGCTATTTTACCCTCTGTGCAGATGATGAAACTGAGCCAAGAGAAGCAAAGTAATTTGTGCAAGGTCACAGAGCTAATAAGGACAGAATTCTTGAACTGAACTTTGGAAATATTTTATAGTTTGAGGATCTTCTCATATAGAATGTCCCTTTTTAAAAAAAATGTGGATAGTTGTGTAGTAATTCTGTAAGCTTTATTCACTGCTCCTCAAAAAGGGAAAATGTGTGAAGGCCATTAACATCTTGAATATTACTGTGCTTTCTTGCAGCCTGTGAACTTATGAGTCAAGGCATCTTAGCCTTGGTCAGCTCCATTGGCTGCACGTCAGCAGGGTCCCTCCAGTCTTTGGCAGATGCCATGCATATCCCCCACCTCTTCATTCAGCGCTCAACAGCTGGGACTCCAAGAAGTAGCTGTGGACTCACCAGGAGCAACAGGAATGACGACTATACTCTCTCTGTTCGCCCACCTGTCTACTTGAATGATGTTATCCTAAGAGT